GCAGCTGAGAGCTTTGCCACCCTAACAAAGGCAAATTTAGGAAGAAGTAGAGAGGCTCTTGACCAAACGATTGCGCGATGTCCAGGGCAACAAAGCTACTGACAAGGCACTCCGATGAGACATAACCAAGATAAGCAGGTCACCTTTCAATGACAAGGTCGAGCAGACGAGACTATTCCACATAGATTGTCGAATAAAAAGATTGCTTCTACTCCAACAAAGGTAGCAGCTCAGCCTAATGACGTGTCGAGGGCAAACGAGTACTAGAAAGACACACCACTCAACTACCAAGAACTGGGGGCAGGCCTTGTTCTCAACACTCTAAACGATACAATACTGAAGCAACACATCATCAGTAGCTGAGCATCATGAACCTAGTAGTCCAATTGTTGTGCACAACCTAGCCCAAGCCAGCCCCAGCTCTGCTTGCAAAACCGTGTCTATCTACTCCACGACTCTCGGTAGCCCTAGATCTGTCACCATGGCTCCTAACTGTGCCTACCTTCCACGGCTCCCGGCAGTCCTTGATCTATCACCATGGCTCCTAACCATGTTGATCTTGCACCACAGCTACCAGCCTTGTTGATCTCGCCCTAAGGCTCCTATTCGCGCCAACCAAGCCCATGGCACTTCAAATTTCAAAGCATCCAACGACGGAGTAGAACACAAGGCTTTATTAGCAGCCTTTGCTAGCGAAAGACTTAGCAGTGAAGAAGCTTGCAATTTATTCAGATTCAACTGATCACCAACCAAGCCTCAGAAAGGCACATGATGAAACATCTAACGACTGCACAATACTTGAAGAAAGTCTGAACTTACGTGAGTTCCACAAGCAACTCGAAGTCTCAAGCAGATCGTCAAACAAGACCTTACTGGTCGAGGATTATTTCAGTTGTCCAGCAGTCCAGTTTTCCTCAGCTGCACTCATCACAATGACTTCCATGCTCTCCAGTGCAAGAGGGTAAACTAATCCCCCAACACCCATCTGGGTAAGCTCTCTAGTACGAGAGGGTAAACTAATTGCTCTCCAGTGCGAAAGGGGTAAACCAATCCCCCAACACCCATCTAGGTAAGCTTTCCAGTGCGAGAGGGTAAACCAATTCCCCGACACCCATTTGGGTATGCTCTCCAATGCGAAAGGATAAACTAATTGCTCTCCAGTGCGAGAGGGTAAACCAATTCTCCAACACCCATATGGGTAAGCTCTCTAGTGCGAGAATGCCACATAGCTCAAAAGATCGAATGCTTGAAGACCAACTATGCAGCGAATGGTCAAGGGGTAGTAGCAACTTTGCACTCAATAATTCGCTCATTCGATACCTCAGCTTCAACAGCTTCGATCTTGGCAGCTCCATCTTTGCCTGCTCCATCTACGACAGTTGAGAAATCAAACTCAAGCAGCTTCCTCATTTTTGGCAAGCAACCCAGACAAGGCAGCCTAAGCCAATTCCTCAGCCCATGCCAAGCCAGTCCTTAGCTTCAGTCAAGCCAAGCAACATATGCAATGGCCCCTGCGAGACCACCTCCTTGGCTTATGCTAAGCCAATTCCTGGCCTCTGTCAGCCAATGTGCTGCACCACCCCGACGGCTGCTCCGCGACAATACTACCCAAGAAGAAGACAAGGAGAATTAAGTTTTTCTTACATCGGTGCGGGGCAGAAAAAACAAAAAAATTCAACGAAAGACAGTTTTTTGCATGGGCAAGCAAAGAAGAGTGCTAGGGGAGGGAGAACAAATATCCTCTAGTTTTCTCTCTTTCTTATAGGGACAAATAATTGCCCTCCGAAGTTGATTTAAACCCTTATTTAAGGTAAGCTTAAATAGGCTTTGGAGGCGATTTATTTCCTTTTCCTAGAAGAATCTAATTCCAAGTCCAAATGAGAATTTGCATCAAAGCTAGAGATCTCTACAGCTGCTGCCCTTTCCTACGAGCAACCCAGCAGTTGTGAGGCATTTGTGGAGTAAAAAATAATCAAGAAAATTATGGAGGCGACACGTGTACTTTTGGGGTGGAAAAGGACAATATTACCTTCGAGGCACACCAAAACTTCTATACGTAAGCAGTAGACAATCATGGCACAATTAAGGTCAAAAGTAATCAAAATAGGTTTTTATTCAAAACCTATTTCATCCATCCTCATCAAATCCTCCCCACAAGGTAACCTTCAATTTTTCATTCAAAATAGGATTAATTACCTAAATTAATTGATTAATTTCCTAATTAATTAATTAATTGTCTAATTAATTTCCTAATTGATTGCAAGATATTATGTTGACATAATATCTTGCAATTACACACAAAAACCACCATATGTGGCCAGTTCCCATCTCTCCAAAGGGGGCCGGCCACCCCTATAAATACCACCCCATTTCTCCAAAAACCTAATTCCAACTCTCTTGCAAAATTCTCCAAATTTCACTGAACACTTTTCCCTCAAATTCTAACTTTGGCATCGCAGGTTCTTCGGCCAAAGCCACCCCCCCCCCCCCCAAAAAAAAGTCATCGTGGGCGCGTGAGGCTCTTGACCTTGACCTAAGGTGTTAATTGTTTTGCAAGTGCACTTTCATCCAAGAAGAATAAGGCGGAAATTTTCATCCATAGTTGTTACATTGATGACATTTTGATCTTCATGTGCATATAAACTGTTCTGCTGCATTGTTTTAGTTTCTTACAGGTTTCTGCTGGTGCTAAGATGATATGGTTTTGTATACGATGTTTCAATTAGTACCATGCACACAGGGTTGTTTGACTCAATTCTTTTCGATCGGTTATAAACTTCTAGGTAATATTCTCGTTAGACTGAATCGAACCAAATGTTCAAAGTCTGTCATTAATCTTTATTTTTGTAGTCTGGTGTTGTTAAAGAATAATCTCACTCTCTTACCAACTTCAAGTCTTGGCATCTTTAACATTAAAAAATTCCCCATCTCCTGTCCTCAATAATTCTCTCCTTACAATTGTAACTCGTGAGGAAGCCGTAGCATGAAAATTAAAGAACGTGGAACCAAGTGGCTTTAAGTGCATCCAACATTGTTTTGTGTCTAATTCTACCAAGTGGCTCTATGTGCATCCGACATTGTTTTGTGTCTAATTCTTAGTCAGCATGACCATCTCCCTACTCCTGATGTGAAAAATATGAATGTTGTTATTTCTCCTATGAGATGAACTTAATTGGAGATGTAAATTTTGGATTTGATATTTTGTGTGTGTTTATATTTATGATGCTATATTTTTTATAAGTACTTCTTTAGAAATAGCGCTTCTACGAGCCAAATGCAAATGAAAGCGTTTTTAGTCATTCCAAAAGCAATTTTAAACTGGCTATGCATCTCTTTTGCATCTTGAATAGTAGGTGCTCTTACGTGCTACTCCGCTATTCTCTTTTAAGTCTACGTGCTTACGTTTTTTGGTCAATGAACATGGTCCTAGGAGAAATTCCTGTTTCTTTATTGATCAATCAACATCTTCGCTTGCTTAATTTGAAATTATTGTTTATGTTATTGGTTTATGTTTTTGGCACTATATAAAACGTTAACCCCCAAAGACTAAAACAATTATATTTGAAAAATGGTTTCAATACACTTCTCTCTCTCTCTCTCACTCTGTGCATGCCATTCTTTTCTTTAGTCATTAGATTGAACAAATCAAAGCAAAACTAAGAAACAGAATTAAGATAAAACAAAAGAAAACCAAAAATCAAAACTAGAAAAGTCGCCTAGTTGATGAAAAATAGTATTCACAATAACTTATTTTATTTTATTTTATTTCATTTTTTAATTACGGCAACGAGTACAAAACTTTTCTTTTTCTTGATTTGAATAGGTTTTCAAGAACCATATTTCTGTTTTTGGACCTTTTAATATGCATCAAAGAGACGTATCCAAATTTTGACAAAAAAAAAAAAAAAAAAAGAGACGTATCCAAAATACTTTGGTTCAAAACTAAGAACCTTCCAAATTATCCTATGTGTAAAAATGTGACTTGCCTGCCAAGGAATCAACATCTGCAATTTCGTGGACCGATTGTGCACTACATCTTCCTCCTCCTATATAATTGGCTTCTACATTTTCACCTAAATATTCAAACACATTTCCGTGCAAAGCTTCAAATTTTGGAGCAGAAAATGGAGAAAGGACAGCTGAGAGCCTACAAAGCTCACTGCTTGATCTTAGCCTATTCGAGCCAAATCCACGTTAATCCGATGCTCCAATTTGCCAAGCTTCTAGATCACAAAGAAGTGAGAGTCACACTCGTGACGACTCGCTTTCTCTACAAGACAATGCACAGCTCAGGATCGAGTTGCGCAGCTTGGGAGACCTTCTCCGATGGCTTCGATGATACTGGGAAAGGGGACAGAAACATAGACATTTATTTGGAGAGGTTCCGGCAAGTGGGGTCACAAACATAGACATATATTTGACATGGTGTATAAATAATAAATTATTTACTAAAATAATAAATTAGTTTAAGCTTGTGACTTTCAAACTTAAAATAATAAATTATTGAAGGAGTTCCCTTCGTTGAAAATGATGTATAAATATGATCTGACATTATTCACTAAAATTTATTTTTTTTTAAGTTTATTTTTTAATTTTATTAGTTAATTAAATTAAAGTATCATATTAAAGTAAAATTTCCAAACATATCTTGAATATCATTTGAAGATGTGGAAAAATTGTACAATAGTACTGTATCACGACGTCATCCGTGATACTTCCCTCAAAATCTGACATCTGCACAATTTATTAACAGTTGGACTAAACATATATTTAACTCTTACAAAATAAAAATTTTTAAAATAAAGGAAAAAAGCAAATAATTGCAACTCTTACAGAAGTTGAGACCTAAGGTTGAGTTGGACCAACACAAATATTCGATTCTTTTGCTACAAACCAAGATAATTATTCGATTCGATTTTGTCGGACTTCATTACTAGCTTTTTTTTTTAAGAATAATTTCGACAATACGAGGATAATTTTATTAATAACGAAAAAATATGTACACTTAAGCAGGAGGATATAAACCAAACTCCTCATAATACAAGAAAAAATGATAAAAAAAAATGCATAAAGAAGAGAAGGCATAAACTTTACTATTCTAGAAACAAAAACAACAAAAATACAAGGAAAAGATGGGGACAGGGGTTAGGTTTCATCACTAGCTTTGGGTCTGCAGTTTTGCAATAAACTCGTCAATGTTTTTGTCAGAGCTTCCGCCTTCATCCACAGCTTTACGGGCCAATTCTTTCCATTTCGCAGCGTTCTTCTGTATTTCCTTCCCTCTCTCCCCCTCCATTACTTCACTTATACATTGTTTTACTACCACTTGTCTTACAACCCCCTTCTCATCAGTTGGAGCTCTAACCCCTACTTCCCACACATCCATAATGTACTTGGCATTTGTACGCTGGTCACTCCACTGTGGCAATGCCACCATCGGAACCCCCAAACTCAATGCCTCCAAAGTCGAGTTCCAACCGCAATGTGTGACGAAGCATCCAACCGCCTTGTGAGCCAAAACTTCCATTTGGGGGCACCACGAAACCACTAAACCCTTCTCAGATGTCTCCTCGATAAACCCTTTTGGGACCTTGGTTGCTTCTGATTCTCTAACCACCCATAAGAAACTACTTTTGCTCCTCCTCAAGCCCCAAGCCAGCTCCTCCATTTGTTCATCTTCGAGTTCTGCTAGGCTGCCAAACGATACATAAGCTACGGAACCTTTTGGCCTCTCGTTTAGCCATTTTATGCATGCATCATTGTCTGATTTGAAGAGGTTGACACTGTATTCTTTGTCATCTTTGAGTCGCTTATTCAAGTAGTTGGACGGTATAGTTGGTCCAACGGTCCTCAATCGCCAAAGCTTAGCCATCCAATCCACCACCTAAGCAGAAAAATTAATAGCAATTAGATTGATTTATACTTGAACTAATTAAAAATTAATCAAATCAAAGCTATGGAACTGTGACTAAAAATGAGTGAGAGAACTTCACAATGTACTCACTTGTACTTCCAAGTCATAAAACGTGTTGCACAGGACCCAATCAGCTTTGTCGACATTCGAGAACTGACCCACAAGCACTCTGTAGGCAGCTGGGTAAGATCCACAATCCGAAACAAACGATGGCAAGTCCAAAGGACCAAGCGCTGGCAACCCAGGAAGTGAAATTTGAGACTGACCATCAGCAAGAGGAAGCTTCAACAGCCCTCTGTGGACATGGTAGTAGACATTGTCAACGGCACAAGACTGAGTGAAGAAAACTGCCCCCGCTATTCCAAGCTTCTTGGCAACATCCAAAGGCCAAGGCATGAATGCATCATAGACAACACAATCCACGGGGGACCCTGAATTCGAAAGCTTCTCAAGAAGCTTGCCCAAATGTTTTGACCCCACTTGCCGGAACCTCTCCAAATAGATGTCTATTTTTGTGTCCCCTTTCCCAGTTTCATCGAAGCCGTCGGAGATGGTCTCCCAAGCTGCGCAACTTGATCCTGAGCTGTGCATTGTCTTGTAGAGAAAGCGAGTCGTTACGAGTGTGACTCTCACTTCTTTGTGATCTAGAAGCTTGGCAAATTGGAGCATCGGATTAATGTGGCCTTGGCTCGGATAGGGTAAGATCAAGCAGTGAGCTTTGTAGGCTTTCAGCTGTCCTTTCTCCATTTTCTGCTCCAAAATTTGAAGCTTTGCACGGAAATGTGTTTGAATATTTAGGTGAAAATGTAGAAGCCAATTATATAGGAGGAGGAAGATGTAGTGCACAATCGGTCCACGAAACTGCAGATGTTGATTCCTTGGCAGGCAAGTCACATTTTTACACGTAGGATAATTTGGAAGGTTCTTAGTTTTGAACCAAAGTAAATTGGATACGTCTCTTCTTTTCTTTCTTTTTTTTTGTCAAAATTTGGATACGTCTCTTTGTTGCATATTAAAAGGTCCAAAAAGAGAAATATGGTTCTTGAAAACCTATTCAAATCAAGCAAAAGAAAAGTTTTGTACTCATTGCCAGTAAAATAAGTTATTGTGAATAATATTTTTCATCAACTTGGTGACTTTTCTAGTTTTGATTTTTTGTTTTCTTTTGTTTTATCTTTATTCTGTTTCTTAGTTTTGCTTTGATTTGTTCAATCTAATGACTAAAGAAAAGAATGGCATGGAGAGAGAGAGAGGGAGAGAGAGAGAGAGAGAGAGAGAGATGTATTGAAACCATTTTTCAAATATAATTGTTTTAGTCTTTGGGGGTTAACGTTTTATATGGTGCCAAAAATGTAAAGCAATAACATAAACAATCATTTCAAATTAAGCAAGTGAAGATGTTGATTGATCAATAAAGAAACAGGAATTTCTCCTAGGACCATGTTCATTGACCAAAAAACGTAAGCACGTAGACTTAAAAGAGAATAGCGGAATAGCACATAAGAGCATCTACTATTCAAGATGCAAAAGAGATGCAGAGCCGGTTTAAAATTGCTTTTGGAATGACTAAAAACGCTTTCATTTGCATTTGGCCGAAAAACAAAGAAGTGTTTTTGGCTCATAGAAGCGCTATTTCTAAAGAAATACTTATAAAAAATATAGCATCATAAATATAAACACACGCAAAATATCAAATCCAAAATTTACATCTCCAATTAAGTTCATCTCACAGGAGCAACAACAACATTCATATTTTTCACATTAGGAGTAGGGAGATGGTCTTGCTGACTAAGAATTAGACACAAAACAATGTCGGATGCACATAGAGCCACTGGGTAGAATTAGACACAAAACAATGTTGGATGCACTTAGAGCCACTTGGTTCCACATTCTTTAATTTTCATGCTAAGGCTTCCTCACGAGTTACAATTGTAAAGAGAGAATTATTGAGGACAGGAGATGGGGGATTTTCGAATGTTAAAGATGCCAAGACTTGAAGTTGGTAAGAGAGTGAGAATAAATGGTGGTTTTTGTGTGTAATTACAAGATACTATGTCAACATAATATCTTGCAATCAATTAGGAAATCAATTAGAAAATTAATTAATTAATTAGGAAATTAATCAATTAATTTAGGTAATTAATCATATTTTGAATGAAAAATGGAAGGTTACCTAGTGGGAAGGATTTGACGACGATGGATGAAATAGGTTTCGAATAATAACTTATTTTGATCACTTTTGACCTTGATTGTGCCATGATTGTCTGCTGCTTGCGCGTAGAAGTTCCAGTGTGCCTCGAGGGTAATATTGTCCTTTTTCACCTCACAAGTACACGTATCGCCTTCATAATTTTCTTGATTATCTTTTACTCCACAAATGACCCACAACTGTTGGGCTGCTCGCAGGAAAGGGCAGCAGTTGTAAAGATCTCTAGCTTTGATGCAGATTCTCATTTGGACTTGGAATTAGATTCTTCTAGGAAAAGGAAATAAATTGCCTCCAAAGCCTATTTAAGCCTACCTTAAGTAGGAGATTAAATAAACTTCGGTGGGCAATTATTTGTCCCTACAAGAAAGAGAGAAAACTAGAGGATATTTGTTCTCCCTCCCTTAGCACTCTTCTTTGCTTGCACATGCAAAGAACCGTCTTCCGTTGATTTTTTTTATCTTTTCCACGCCGCACCGATGTAAGAAAAACTTAATTCTCCTTGTTTTCTTCTTGGGTAGGGCTGTCGCGAGGCAGCCATCGAGGTGGTGCGGCACATCAGCTGACATAGGCCAGGAGTTGGTTTGGCATGGACTAAGGAGGTGGTGTGGCAGGGGCCATCATTTATGTTGCTCGGCTTGACTGAAGCCAAGGATTGGCTCGGCATGGACCGAGGAATTGGCTTGGGCTGCCTTATCTGTGCTGTTTGCCAAAAATGAGGAAACTGCTTAAGTTTGATTTCTCAACTGCCGTAGATAGAGTAGTCAAAGATGGAGCTGCCAAGATCAAAGCTATTGAAGATGAGGTATCGGATGAGCGAATTATTAAGTGCAAAGTTGTTGCTACCCCTTGACCATTCGATGCCTAGTTGGTCTTTAAGCATTCGGTCTTTTGAGCTATATGGCATACTCGCACTAGAGAGCTTACCCATACGGGTGTCGGAGAATTGGTTTACCCTTTCGCACTAGAGTGCAATTAATTTATCCTCTTACACTAGAGAGCATACCCAAATGGGTGTTGGGAAATTGGTTTACCCTCTCGCACTAGAAACCTTACCTAGATGGGTATTGGGGGATTGGTTTACCCCCTCTCGCACTGGAGAGCCATTAGTTTACCCTCTCGTACTGGAGAGCTTAACTAGATGGATGTCAGGGGATTAGTTTACCCTTTTGCACTAAAGAGCTTGGAAGTCGTTGTCATGAGTTCAGCTAAGAAAAGCTGGGCTGCTGGACAACTGAAATAATCCTCAGCCAGTGAAGTCTTGTTTGCCGATCTGCTTGAGACTTCGAGTTGCTTGTGGAACTCACATAAGTTCAGACTTTCTTCAAGTATTGTGCCATCATTAGATGTTTCATCATGTGCCCTTCTGAGGCTTGGTTGGTGATCAGCTGAGAATCTGAATAAATTGCAAGCTTCTTAACCGCTAAGTCTTTCGTTGGCAGAAGCTGTTAATAAAGACTTATGTTCTACTTCATCGTTGGATGTTTTGAAATTTGAAGTGTCATAGGCTTGGTCGACACGATGAGGAGCTTTAGGGCAAGATCGACAAGGCTGGTAGCTGTGGTGCAAGATCAGCATGGTTAGGAGCCATGGTGATATATATCTCGGTGAGACTTTTTAACATTACTGGAGTTGAGTACCACTCCTTGTAGTTCTATGCAATGAAGTTGTTATGATTGATTCAGTAAGTTGTTGCTTAACAAGTGGTACAACTTCAAGTTCTTCAAAACCAGTGGAAACAATCTTCTCTTACTGACTTCTTTGTTGCTCCACTTCCATGTCACTTCCTCACTAAAGATGACATCTCTACTAACTAGTTTGCCAGTTAGTGATTTGTAGAGCTTGTATGCCTTGGACTTTTCACTATAGCCCACAAACACACAATTATCACCTCAATCATCGAGCCTCCTCCTTTTGGCTTCTGGAACTTGAGCATATGCAACACACCTAAAAAACTCTTATGTGTGCAACATTTAGTTTGTATCCACTCCAAGCTTCTTGTGGTGTTATCTTCTTGACACTCTTTGTTGGACATAGATTCAACAAATAAATCGAACAAGCTACAACATATGCCCACAATTCTTTTGGCAAACCGTTCTCCTTAAGCATGGACCTTGTCATGTCAAAGATAGTTCGATTCTTTCTCTTGGTTGTCCCATTTTGTTGTGGGGTATAGGCAGTAGTCAGTTGATGCCTAATTCCTTGCTCCTTGCAGTATGCTTGGAAAGTATTGGAGGTGTATTCCCCACCTCGATCTGATCTCACAACCACAAACTTGTGGTTGCTTTCAGCCTATGTGAATGCCTTAAACTCCTTGAAAACGCTTAAGGCAACCAACTTCTCCTCGAGAAAATAAACACACATCTTTCTATTAGAATCATCAATGAAAATAATAAAATATCTATTACCTCCATAGGACATGGGATCGAACAGACCATATATATTCATCTGCCCCAATTGCAGTGGTGCCTTTGCTCTCCATTCTTCACCAATATGAAATGAGAGTTGTGCTTGCTTGCCAAACACATAACCTTCACATACTTGGCTTGTGGCTTCAATCTGGGGTAGACCCCGATCCATTCCTCCACTTGACAACAACTTTAGGCCCTTAAAATGAAGATGGCCAAACCGAAGATGCCATTTTCATAACTCATCTTCCATCACATCGATGTTGAAACTTCTAATCTTTATGTTCAAATTCAACGGTAACATTCGGTTCTTTGACATTCAAATACATCCAATAAGCTTTCTCCTTGTATTCCTGATAGTAAGAAGCATATTCTCTATATGTATAATGTATTATTTCTGGAGCAGTTGACCAATGCTTAGAATGTTGCTTTCCATAACTAGTATGTAGTAGGTATCGGAAATGTATCCTTCTCTACCATCCTTCTGGATGATCTTGATTTTCTCACCTGCAACTGGCATCTTTGAGGAGTCACTAAGACTCATAGATGCATAGGCCTCATCTTTGATTTCGGCAAAAAACTCCTTATTCCGACACATGTGGTTACTTGCACTAGAATCCAAATACCACTTGACTCTACCATGTTAACATGTTCACCATGTTTATATGAACATTTAATGGCATAATGTCCATATTCCTTGCAGTTGTGGCACTGGATATGTGCCTTTCCTTTAGCAGATCTCTACTCTAAGACTAACCTCAGTTTTGTGCATAGCCTTGACCTCTTCCTTGACCTCATCTTTGGCTACGATTGGATGAACTCCCACAACGTGAGTTCCACTGTCCACGACCTCCATTTGGTTTGTCAATATTCAACTTTGACTCCAAAGCTTGCTCTAACATTGTGGTACTTGCATTCTTCTGAATGCATTATTCGTGAGCTAGGAGGGATCTTAGCAGTTCCACTACACTCATCGTCTCCAAATCCTTGGATTCTTTAATGGCAATCACCACATGCTCAAAGTTGGATGTGAGGGATCGAGGGATTTTCTCCATAACACAAACATTGTCAAGCTTTTAGCCATTCCTTTTCATTTAATTCACGATTGCAAGTAGTCGAGAGTAGTAGTTCGAAAATTTTCTCCCTATTTCATATAAGCAACCTCAAAATATGCTCTTAATAATT